TTATAAGTCCTCCTTCTGGGGGGAGTCCAGACAAGCTTTTTGAACTGGACCTCAAGAGGCCCACTGCGGCCCACGTAGGCCTCGGCGGCAACGCCAACACGGTCCCACCTGGCGGCCAGCTCTCTTTCCACCCCTTCGAGGACCAAATCCCAAAAACAGCAACTAGGCAACAGAATCAACCTGCGGGGCAGCGGTCGCAAGAACTGCGTGCCACGGAAAAACGGAGGCCAAGCACAGCCGATGGGAGGGGTCGACGGGAAAGCATACGGGACCTAGGCAACCCGAGCCCACACGGGCGTCTCCCGAGCCCTCAAAGTCAGCTGGACGGGGAGGTGAGGGTATGTGGTGGCCGCCTCCAAAACGCACGTGCAGGGGTCAAGCTTTGGCGCCAGCCAGCTGCTGCAAATGAAATAATCTATGTGCGTGCCTGGTGAAACCTGCCTGCAAGTGGGCGCCTCAGACACGAAAGCCAGTCCTCCAGCCGCCGCAATCCAGTCGGACTGGTCCAGGGCGGTGAGCGGCATGTTGAAATCGGCGCCGATGATCCACGGAATCTGCATGCCGTTGAGCACTGACAGGTACTCGATGATCTCCCACACCAGCTCGGCATTGCACGGTCCGTAACCTTGGAGGGGGAGGGGGAGGGGGGGGGGAGGGGAGGGGGGAAGGGGGAGGAGGAGGAGGAGGAGGGGAGGAGGAGGAGGAGGAGGAGGAGGAGGAGGAGGAGGAGGAGGAGGAGGAGGAGGAGGAGGAGGAGGAGGAGGAGGAGGAGGAGGAGGAGGAGGAGGAGGAGGAGGAGGAGCAGGGGCAGGGGCAGGCGCGTGAGAGGAGCGCGCACAGAGCTCGAGGAGCGGAGCGGCTCGCGCCGCGAGCGGCAGCGGGCTCGAGCGCAGGCCGCGGGCGGCCGAGGGCGAGGGCACGGGCGGGCACCGCCCCGAGCAGGGCGCGGCCGGGGGTCTCCCAGCCACTCGCCCTCGAGAGGGGCTCTCGAAAGCCCTGGGGCACACAAATAAATATACACCCTGCGAAGTGCTTAAGAAATCATGGGTTAAGAAATTCATAGTCTCCGAAGTTGAATAAAAGCCGGAACTTCTATCAACATCTTGGGAGTTACATTGAAAAATTAAGAATAATCGAGACTCTGGCCGAAAACTTGGGTTTTCTTAAGCATCGCCTAGGGTGTAGGGCAGTTTTGAATCCATAGGACTTTTTAAAACACATAGGACTTTAAAAACATGCTTAATTTATGAATGAGCTAATGCATAAACTCATCCTTGCATGTATGAATCAACCCTTTTATCTTTAATACATGGTCCGCACGCGGAGCATGTATTAAAAACGGCACTGTACACACATATCCCAGGAACAAAACAGAACGTCCAATCGAGCGTCCTAAGACGTCTCGTCCCGCCTGCGGGACGAGGCGTGAGTCATGCGGTGCGGAAAGACATGCACGGAAGAGGATCAAAAAGACACCCCTCAAGCCTCGAGATCGTTTCAACACTAGTTTGGAGCGTGAATTGCACAATGCGCACGGCAAATTTACGGATCCCAAGATGCCCCAGATGTTCCCATATTTTCCAGGTTCTCGTCTTCCCCCCCACTGCCCACACTTCCCAACATTTTCTCAGGGATCGACGATTAATTGTGTCTGTGTGTGTTTTTTCCCCTCCCGACTCTTTGCCGGCCTCGAGGTGCTCTTAAGGTGGGCGGAGGGCGGCGGGCCCGCGGACACCCGAGATGCATCGGTGCTGCTGCGATGCATCCTCCCGTTCCGAGTCCCCTCCTGATTCACCAGCCTGGAACATATCCCTATCCCTATGCTGGGCATTGCCTCATCACGATGCCGATCTTAGGGATTCGCTCGGTTTCTGAAGGTGCGTCCCCAAGGTCGTCATCGCCTTTGGGAGCGTCAACCTTAGGGATAGGGATAGGGATAAGTTCGAAGCTGGTGACTGGTGCGTACGTACGTCCATGCAGGCATGCTTTCCGCTGTCAGCACGCGCACCCCCCATGAAGACCAGCACCACATGGGCCTGCCAGTTCGCCGAGGCCCTCGGGCTGCGACGAGGCGGCGACGGCGGCGACGTAGCCGCCAGACCGGCCGTCAGGCCCAGCCCCTCAGAATGGAAGCAGGACCACCCAGTTGCAGGCACTGTTTGGGGAATCCTGCAGCAATGCGAACGATGGAGGACCACAGTGGGGCTCTCGCTTAAGAACTCCCTAAGTTTAAGCGCCAGAGGCTTCAACACATGTAGGACTGTTCGGATCGAGGATGGCTCCTTTTCAGAACAGAGCTCTCGCTTGAGCCTCCCTCGCAATCGGCGACCACAAATGTAAACGTGCACAACTCTTAGACGGATGGTAGGTGGTGCATGTCCGAAAGAAAGATCTCCGTGAACACCTCGTTGCATTGTATGGTCAGAATTTCCGCATCCTTGCTTACCTCTTGCATCCCTGCTTACGCTTTGGACGCCCGAAATGGGTACGGAAAGAATGGGTACAATGCCAAACAACAAATGTTGTCCCAAACCAACAGCGGCCGCTGTTGGGCGGGCGGCCCTCTGTCTCGAATGGACACAGGCCGCGGCAGCGTGGACAGCGAATCCTGTTCCAAATGAACAGGCACTGCTGTTGGGCATTGTACCCATTCCTGCCGTACCCATTTCGGGCGTCCAGATACGCGGCAGAAAGAATCACGGCAGCCTGACGGCCAATCTGGCGGCCATGTGTCCGACGACGCCGCCCCGTTGCGGCCTCGTCGCCGCCATCGCCGCCCCGTCGCACCCTGGTCGCCGCCCCGCCGCCCCCCCGTCGACGCGTCGTACACGTCACAGACAAGATTGCATCACGGAGATTCTCCTCTTCTAAAAGGAACATTGGTTCTACCACCCTCCCCCCCCCTGGGGTTAAAGACCCCCCGAGAACCGATGCAAAACACACAGGGTTCTGGCCCATGTTCATCCTGCCTGTGAATTCATACCATCCCAGCCAAACCAGTATCGGCCTTCCCCGCCATCCGCTGCACAAACATATGATGCGCACGCACTCAGTTATCAAAGATCCAATAATCCCTTTAACAAAATTGAGACGAAGTGCGCACGCGCGCGTCGTCGCGCGTGCATGCCAAAATCCTTCAAGGCAGCTTTGGGTTTCGGATGGATGTCAACATCCACTTCCCAAAACATATACAAAAACACATGGTTTCGCAACACTGATTTTATACAAAAAAGCTTACGCGCGCGCTCTTGCGAACTCTCCAGGAAAAAAAACATAGGTTTTCAAGATGTGCGAAAAAAAACTGCCAAACGGGCTTCGCGCGCGCATGTCGGTCCGAACGCCCTTGCGCGCGTGCCGTCGCGAGAATCCTCTGCACAAATTGGGACGAAGTGCGCGCGCGCGCGTCTTCGCGCGCAAGCACGCCGAAATCATTTAAAATCGTCGGTGTCGGAAGAGTCTTAAAATCGAGTGCCAAAAAACATGCAAAAACATGGTTTCACAACACGAACTTTCAACAAAAACGTGCGCACGCGCTCTTGCGTCGTCGTCGTCGTCGCCGTCCCTCCTCCCTCGTCGTTGTCGTCGTCGTCGCAGTCGTCGTCCTCTGTCTTCGCTCGTCGTCGTCGTCGTCATCCTCGTTGGAGCCGTCGTCGTTTCGCGTTTCTGTCGTCGTTGTCGCCGTGGTCGTCCTTCCTCCTCCCTCGTCGTTATCGTCGTCGTCCGTCGTCGGCGTCTCGTCGTCGTCCCTCCTATTTCGTCGCCGTCGTCGTCGTCGTCGTCGTCTTCCCTCCTCCCTTATCGTTGTCGTCGTCGGCGTCGCCGTCTTCCCTCCTTCTCCGTCGTTCGTGTCGTCGCAGTCCTCTCTCCTCCGTCGTCGTTGTCGTCGTTGTCGCTGTCGTCGTCCTCCCTCCTCCCTCGTCGTCGTCGTCTTCGTTGGCGACGACGTCGTCGTCGTCTTCGTCGTCGTCTTCGTCGGCGACGTCGTCGTCGTCGTCGGCGTCGTCGTCGTCGTCGGCGTCGTCGTCGTCGTCGGCATTGTCATCGTCGTCGCAGTCGTCGTCGGCGTCGGCGCCGTCGTCGTCGTCGTCGTCGGTGTCGTCGTCGTCGTTGTCGAAGTCGTTGGAGACGCCGTCGGCGTCGTCGTAGTCGTTGTCGGCGTCGTCGTCGTCGTCGTTGGTGTTGCCGTCGTCGGCGTAGGTGTCGTTGCCAAGTGCCATTTGGTACCTACCGTGACGGTCTTAAGAGGTCTTGCGACCAAGTTGCGGGTGGGAGGGTGGGATGTTTGCACGAGCAGTGAAGAGGACAGCTTCAAGTTGAGCAAGTGATTGATTGCACCACATAGATTTCCACCGCAGGTTCTCTTTCCTAAAAACAAAAATGAATTCTACCACCCTCTCCCCCCGGGGCTAAAGACCCCCCGGGAACCGATGTAGAACGCACAGGGTTCTGACCCAATGTCCATCCTACCTGTGAATTCATACTATCCCAGCCAAGCCGGTATCGGTTCCCCCCGCCATCCTCTGCAACAAAAACTATGCGCGCGCACGCATTTATCAGAAATCATAAGTTTTCGAAAATCCCTTGCAAAAAAAAATGACAAAATGCGCACGAGCGCGTCGTCGCGCGCGCATGCCGAATTCAGGGGGTACCAGGGCCCCCCACTCAGATCTAACCGCTACCGCCCCCAGGACCCTCCCCTCGGAACCCTCCCCGGACCACCCCCCCGGGACCGCTCCAGGCACCCTCCCAGAGGAGAAGAAAGAGGACCAGGAGAATCGAGGAGGGAGGAGGCCACAGAGCCACGAAGATCACCGAGTCAGAAGCACCCCGGATCGGCGGCACTGGCCGGAGGCCAATTCCAATACTCGAATAATTTCCCAAGAATGATCAAAAAATCCAAAAGTACTCAAAACATCGCCCCGAGATTATTGTTTATACTATTTCTGAATCGTCCCCATGTAGCGGGACAAGCCCGACTTAAAACTGAGACACGAACGCGCTCATGCCGGCGCGCTCGGGGCAGAAGAGCGGAGCCCAGCAGGGGGCCACAGGCTTCGACCACAGCCTCGGAGCTCACTAGGACGCCGAGGCTTCTGTTGCTCCCATCGTGCTCAAGGAGCGCATCCCAGAAATAATGTCGAGCACCCGAAAGAGTGTCGAAAGAGTGTCGAAAGAATGTCGAAAGCGTGTCGAAACAGTGTCGGACGAGTGTCTCCCAGGGCCCGACACGTGAACACCCTCGAGTTTCGGTACTTTCCTGGTGCTCGAAATTCTTTCTGGCGACCAAGGCTAAAGTAGATGGGAAGATCATAAGTCGAGGCCAAGGGACGAACACTGGGCCTCCATTTCTGCTTCGATGCCGATATGCTGGAACTCGGCTTTGATGTTGTCAATCTCCATGGGAGCTTGGATTATCAACTCCTGGGGCTTCGCCTGGAGCTTTGGTTCGGTGTCATGTGCGCTGTCATCCACCAAGGTCTGGGAATTAACGTTCGTGTCGATGGCGATGGCATCGTGACCATCGGCGCTCCCGACATCTGTATCTTCGCTATCGTTAAAGGACTTCTTCTCGGGATTGTGGTTGAGCAAGTTCTGGTCCGTAGCATGGTCGGGAATGATAATCTTCGCCATGTAGGAAGAGCCGTCGTTGACTGCCTGCTCGTTGATCTGGGGCTTGGGAACTCAGCCTATGCTGAAAGTCTTCACGGAGACATGCAAGCTTATATCGCTGAACTGATCGCTGGGCTCGAGCTTTTCCTGAAGAGTGCTCCTGTCACGGGCTTGCACCTTGTCAACAAACTGTGAGGCGGCGCAATCCTCGAAATACTTGATCTTTCCAACCACGCTGACCTCAGAGATCTCCTTGACTGGGACTGTCTGGGCCATGGACCTCAGGGTTCACCTTATCTGTGGTGCCGTAGACGACCGCATGATCTGGATCATCACGAAGTCCGGTCTGTAGCTCAAGATCTGGAGCTGTGCTATCTGGCGCACCCGCGGACAGCCCACGCCGAAACGCCACCATTGCTTCTCCTAGACCTTTGCCCAGTATATGCTCTGGCACCAACAGTGAGGGGCAACGATAGGGGGGGATAGGCGTAGGGGGGGATGCATCGACCTGGAATCGGCGATACATCGCCGATAGATCGGCGACAGGCCCCCGAGAGTGAACCCGCACCTCCCTGGGCGGGGTGGGGCCATCGGGCCCCTGCCGGCGATCAATGGGCGATTGGGGGTCGACGCATCCCCCCCTACGGCAAGTTCGTGTCGTGCCGACCCCAGCGTTGGTTTTTGACACCGCAGGGATCGTTCAACCTTGAACGATCGGCCGCTGCCGCAACGTCCGATCGTTCAACATCGACCGATTCTGGGTCGCCGGCGGCGTTCAACCTTGAACGCCCGCGCTGGGGTCGCTGCTGGTCGACACGACGCAAACCTACCGTATGCCTATCCCGACCTATCGCCGCCCCCGAAACAGACGAGCCATCCGGACAGCGCCCGGTGGGGCACACGCCTGGCGACGACGCCACGAGCACCGCCTCGTGCGGGCGGGCCTGCCATCCGCCACTGCGGCCTCAGGGCTGCCCCGGCGCCCGCCCCGCCCGCACACTGGCCGCCCGGGCGCCCGCGCCACGTCGAGGCGGGGGGGGGGTCCCGAAGTGGCTTGGAGCCAGCGTGGCGTCCGCCAAAACAAAATGGCCACGGGAGAGAGCAAGGTGAAACAGAAGGAGGAGGGCGAGGAGGAGGAGGGCGAAGGGAGGAGAAGGGGGGAGGAGGAGGAGGAGGAGGAGGAGGAGGAGGAGGAGGAGGATGAGGAGGAGGAGGGCGAAGGGAGGAGAAGGAGGAGGAGGAGGAATACGAGGAGGATGCAGGAAGAGGAGGAGCGGGGGCGACGGCCCGCGCCGCGCTGCCTGGCAGCACGGAACTCCACGCCCTGCTGAGCGCCATGCCCTTCAGTGCGGAGTGCAGCTCCGAGAGCGGCTCCTCGAAGTCCGCGTCCTGCCAGCTCTCCTCCTCCTCCTCCTCCTCCTCCTCCTCCTCCTCCTCCTCCTCCTCCTCCTGGGCGAGGGCCAGGCCGAGGGGGGGAGGGGGAGGAGGCGCAGGGGGCAAGAGGGGGCGAGGGCGACGGCGAGGGGGAGGATGGCGAGGGTGGGGACAAAGCATGAGAAAGGGGGAAGACTGCCGACTCAACGGATTGCGCAGCCGTGATTGTGCAACGCGAGCGGACGAGCGGGTAGAAGGATGCGTGTGTGGAGAATGAAGGAGGGGGAGGAAGAGGAGGAGGAGGAGGAGGAGGAGGAGGAGGAGGAGGAGGAGGAGGAGGGCGAGGAGGGCGATTTGACTGGCCTGATCAACCCTACAGTGAGCACGACTCCAGGGCCGACGGTGTGCAGGACGCCCCCCCCCCAGGCCTATCCTGGGCCATGACGGAGGCCTCAAATTGGCCTGCAAGCCTTGCGCTGTAGCTGAGGACGTTGGTTCCAGCTGCTCGCCCCGAAATTGTGGCGAGCACTAGTGCTGTAGCTGACATCGGGCACCAGCTTCGCCTTCCTCATCACTCAGAGTGTCGACAGTGATGGCTGCCGCTGTTCGCCCTTCTCGCACGACTTCGGCGTCCACCTTCGCGCACGCCCTGATCCCCGCATTGTAGCTGACATCGGGTGCTGGCTTTACGTTCCCCAGCTTAATAGGAGGAGGGGGAAGGGGGGGAGAAGGAGGGGGAGAAGGAAGACGAGGAAGAAGGCGGCGGAAGATGGAGAGGGCGGAGCAGGGAGATGCGCAGGAGGACGTGGAGGAGGAGGAGGAGGTGGAGAAGCAGGAGGAGGAGGAGGAGGAGGAGGAGGGGGAGGGGGAGGGAGGGGGTGGAGGAGGAGGAGGAGGAGGAGGAGGAGGAGGAGGAGAAGGATAATGGGGAGGAGGAGCAGGATAATGAGGAGGAGGAGGAGGAGGAGGAGGAGGTGCATGATAGTGGCCTCGCGGGCCAGACGTCCCAGAGAGATGACCGACGGTGCAAAGGCGCGAAACAGGAGGAGGACGAAGAGAAAGAGGAGGAGGAGGAGGAGGAGGAGGAGGAGGAGGAGAAGGAGGACGAGGACGAGGACGTGGAGGAGGATTTTTTTTTGTTGTTGTTGTTGTTGTTGTTTTTTTTTTGTCACCTTGGACCTCACCTCCTCCCCTCTCAGTCCTTCGCACGAGCCTCCTTGGCCGCTACACGGGCACGGAGGGCATCCAGGCTTGAAAGGGGCGACGCACACGCTGGCGTCTGCTGGGGTCGGGACGCTACGACATGTGCTCGCGCCTCGACCCTCGTGAGCGGAGCCTCGAGCTCCCCGCAAGAAACAGGTACATCGCGCTTCGGGTGCAGGCCTCTCCTGAGCCTTCGAAGCGCAGTAGTGCCTGCACTGCTCCTGTCGCTGTCTCTTAGGGGCCTGAGACAACGTGACAAGAGCATGTGCAGGCGGTGCTGGGCGTAGTAGCCACAGCTCATGCAGAAAAACAACGGACTTGGCTCGTCCCCGACTTGCGTGCTAGCCAGAACGTGGCCATGTTCTGGCGAGATGGTCAGTAGCTCTTCGACCATCCTAGGGAAGCCCTCGCAGCCCACCGTGGGTCTGTCTTCCATGGCTCCTGCATAAAACCTGAAGCAACTCGAACACCGATGGCCCCACAGCCAGGTGTCCCAAGTGTGCCAACCCTCGGCACGCTTAAACACTTTCTGCTTCTTGGCCCGTCGAGGAGGCCGAGTGTGGGTGACCCTGGGATAGAGCGGCAGAACCTCCGCCAAAATCCGCGCCACCGTTTCGACTCTCTCGATCGAGCTCTTCACATCGTCCCACTCGCTTTGGCTAGCTTGTGGGTGCAACAAAATCGCTTGCTTGGCTTCGTGATCCGCGCGCCTGTTGGCACGACCTATGGACCGCTGAGGCTCTTCTAGCATATCTATCGTGGCTGAGTCCCTGTTTGCTGGGGTCCAGACGGCTGGGGCATACGCATCTCGTTCCATGTGCTGCAGAGCTCCGCGCCCGAGTCCAGCATACTTGTGTTTATGACTCAACTGAGAAACCGTGCTGCCATTGTGAAGCTTGACGGCATTCATACAATCACTGTAGCAGGCTTGCCCATACTTGGGCACGAAAATCGGGAGCAAGGCCAGCTGAAGTTGCTCTGCTGCCTGGCTCGTCTGAGGAAGGCTCGGCCAAACGGGGCATTTTGCAATTGCTACCTGCTCTCCGTCCCTTCCCATGAACACCCATGAAAACGCTGCTCGTGATAGATCTCGAATCTGGTGCGGGAAACACGACCCGTCCCCCGCCACATTCAAATCAGTAGTGTCGAAGTCCGCCCAGTCCATTCGCTGACCCTCGGCGCTATACAAGTAAGGCTCGTGCTGGTCGGACAAAGGCGGCATATCTTTGACAGGGTTGACAAACTTTAGACCAGCGTAGAAGTTGTGCTCCCCTTCCCTCGCCCTCTGAATGAAGCTGCCCTTCACCCCCGTACTAGTCCTAGCCGCCGAAACCTCGGGGCTGGCACAACAGTAAATCCTATGGGCAACAGAATCTGGCTCCCCGCACAGCGGGCAGCAACCTGTCGAATGATAACCAGCCTGCCGCGCCCGATCCTCGGTCCAGAGTCCGTCGCAAAAGACCGTTTTGACCAAGTAGTTGCCTTGGGCATTCAGTCCTATGCCTCGGAGTCTAGGCTGAGTGATACGTCGCAGCGGCTCGACGCAGACACGATCTCCTACAGGCCATCCGAGCTTCTGTCCCAGGACCCGCTCGTGGTGGCGTAGCACCCCTTCTTTCAAGAGCGCGGAGATCATGGCAGGGGAGTTGTAAAGCAGACTCAACTCGATTCCCCTATCGTCGACCCACATCAAAAACGAAGTCGATTTCCACCCGATGCGAAAAAGCGACAAAAACATCCGACTGATAGGACCCCTCGTCTTCCCCCATTTCCACCCCTCAATTCCTTCCTGGGAGATGGAGTCCCACATGCTGCGAAGCTGGGGCAGCGTGAAACTGGCCGTGCACGGCGCCGTCGTGGTGCTCCACACAGCGGCTGCCCAAGCGAGCGCAGGAGCGACCATGCTCCTCCACATCGGATCGCCTAACAGAGCTGTCTTGGCAGTGAGTGAAACCCCTCCATGACACGGCGCCTGATAGGAAAGCATCACCCCTCGCGCACGCTTAAGTTCAGCGTCAGACATTCCAGTCACCGTATCTCCAAAACTGACCGCAGGCTTAACGCCGGGCGGTGTAAATCTTACCGATTCTGTATTTGTCCCTCGGCAGAGCTTGCCTATACCGCTGGAGCCTTCGGTGTCTGCGAATCATGCCCGCAACTCGGGCCTTGCGTTTACCAAGAGCTTGTTTGGTGCTGCGTTTCACCCCAGGAGCTAAATCGACCCCGAGCGAGACCACGTGGGTCCCGACCGTCCCAGCCAGCGTTCCGAGCCTGCGTCCGACTCGCAGCGACAAGTCGGGGGTGGAGCCGAAGGTCATGAGTTTGTTGGGGGGCAAACCAACACCTAAATCTTCCTTAAAAACCCGTTCCAGGTCCTCAGCTGCCTGGCCGAGAACTTGGACCATAGGACGTGGAGGAGGAGGAGGACGTGGAGGAGGAGGAGGAGGAGGAGGAGGAGAAGGAGGAGGAGGAGGAGGAGGAGGAGGAGGAGGAGGAGGAGGAGGAGGAGGGGAGACGATCGGGGGGGGGGGGGCGAAAGGAAAGGGTTTAATAGCAACGGGCAGGGTAGAGAATCAACTCTCGTGGCTGGTTTTCTTGGCGTTTCCTGGCACCGGGACGCGCCCATGTATCGAGGAATGGGCCCGGCGGCGGGGCGGAAACCAGCTGCATGCAGCAGATCTCGCAACACCCCTTTCCACATCCTGCCCTCTCGTCCGGCCTGGGACGAGGGAGGCGAACTTGAGGTTAAGGGATAGCAAAGAGGGCGGAGGAGGGGGGGAGCATGAGGTGGAGGAGCACGATGGGAAGGGGGGGGAGCAGAGGATGAGGAGCAGAAGGGGGGGCACAGGGCGAGGGGAGCGCGACAAGGACGAGGGCGACGACGATAACGCCGGCGGGCTCCCCGAGGTCTCCCCCGAAGCCGTCGGGCTCCAGCTGGGCATCCCCCGCGCCCCTGCTGGCCGCCATGCCCTCGAGCAGCGAGCTCAAGTCTGCGAGGGCCCCCTCGAAGTCGCAGACCTCCCTCCATCGCTGCTCCTCCTCGTCCTCCTAATCCACCTGCCACCCCACACTCCCCTCCACCAAGCTTCCCCCCCCCTCCCCCCCCCTTCCCTCTACGCCGTCGCCGTCGTCTTCGCCTTCGCCTTCGCCTCCGCCTTCGCCTTCGTCGCCGCCTTCGCCTTCGTCTCCGCCCTCGCCTTCGCCTTCGCCTTCGCCTTCGCTTTCGCCAATGTCGTCGTCGTCCTCGTCATCGCCGTCGTCAATCCCCATCCCCCATCCTCCTCCTTTCCTCCTCCGCCTCCTCCTCCTCCGCGTCATCGTCCTCCTCCTTCTGCTATTCATCCTCATCCTCCTCATCTTGCTCCTCTTCCTGCTGGTCGTCCGCGTCCTTCTGTTCCACCTCCTCACTTCCTTTCGTCCATCTCCTCATCCTGCTCATCATCCGCATCCTCCTCCTGCTCCACTTCCTCCGCATTACGCTCATCTTCCTCCCGCCTCGCTCCATCCTCCCTCCACTCCTCTTTGTCGTCGTGTGGTGGTCTTGCTCCTGGTTTTCCGTCGCCTTCTCCCCCTCCTTGTGCATGCACCTAGTCACACTTCTCGCTCGTCTCCTCACGAATTCGTCATAGTATCCTCCTCCTCCTCATTCCCCACATCACCCTCATCCCCATGCTCCTCAACATCCCATCATCTCTCCTCCTCCTCCTCCTCCTCCTCCTCCTCCTCCTCCCCCTCCTCCTCCGCAACCCTCCTCCCTGGCGTCCTCCTGCCCCCTGCCCCGGCTCCTCCTCCTTCTGGCCCGGCCGCCTCGGCCAAGGTCTGGGCAGCGGCGCGCAGATCTCCGTGGCGGCTCTCGGCGCTGGATCCGCACCCGCCCGGCGAGGAGGGCGGAGGAGCGAGGAGGATGGCCGAGGAGGGAGGAGACGGAGGAGGGGGGAGGGAAGAGGAGAGGGGAGAGAGGAGGAGAGAGGAGGGAAGAGGGGGGAGGAGGGGGGAGTAGGGAGGATGGAGGAGGACTGGGTGCTGCACCCGCACCCGCAGTAGGGCCCAACCCCCACGTGGGTGGAAAAGCGGAGGCTACTGAGGATCGAGGAGGCCGACGGCAGCGCCGGCCTTCGGACGCGTCGTCGTCCTCGTCGTTGACGTCGTCGAAGTCGACGACGTCGTCGTAATCGTCAACGTCGTGGTCGTCGTCGTCGTCGTCGTCGTCGTCGTCGTCGTCGTCGTCGTCGTCACCGTCGTCGTCATCGTCAACGCCGTCGTCGTCGTCGCCGCCGCCGCCACCGTTGTCGTCGCCGCTGTCGCCATTGTCG